CCAATCACCCCTGAAAATTTCATTGAAATCGGGCAAGCCGTCTAGGAGGAGTATGCGAACAGGAAGTTTTGCCACTTAATTTTATATATATAGATAGATAGTACATATGTATATTGTCGGACATGTTGGGAGTTTTCGTCGGGTAAAATTTAAGAGCCCCTATTTTTTTCAACTTTGACCATTACTAATTTTAAAAAATTTGTATGAAAGTTGCCAAATATTTGTCTAAAAGAAAATCTCTAGAAATACGGCCTTGAATTTATATGTTTGTATGTACCGGACGTTCAGATTTTTTGAGCAGTGGGGGTAAAGAACTCATAAATATTTACTCAAAATTGATATATACAATGGGCCTTTAGCGAAAAATTGGTTTTTCATACTTATATCATATATATGAATCTCAAAACCCACTTCACCGATCTCGACCAAATTCGGTACAAACATTGCGCTTAGCTTCCTTAAGCACCATTTAAGCTTTTTGAAGTCGAACGAAAACCTCGTGCTCCACCCCCGTAAACGCGTAGATACTCGCAGCTAAATTTTTACATTTATGTTAAGTTCAATGGCAAGTCCAAAGCTGTACCGGGTGGAACTTTTCTTGCAGCGCAACAACATAAAAATTTTCTACCTAGTAGGGTCAGCACAACATTATGCAACTAAAAGCACATAATTTTCAATGTAATATTTTAATAAATATCATGAACTTACTTCTTTAGATGCCCACAATAATATGTGATAAAGAAATTAACTCCGATCACGTTTTTGGAGTATATATACCGGATACAAAGTTAATTCTTAAAAGTAGAAAAAACCAGCAATTCCGCGAGCTGCGACTTCGCGCTTATATCCATGAGTAAGACTTCCTAGGAAGCACTGCCTTTTCAGTAGAAATATCCGTTATTGTGTTCTTTATAAAACTACCATAAAGGAAGCATCGAAATTGAAAGCAAATTTTATTTTTTTTGCCAGCTTTTTTGCTATATGGGACCTGTGCTGTTTGAAATGCGTGCTACGTACCAAATTTCAAGCAAACCAGACCATAAATACGATTTTTTCGAATAGATCAGTCTCCGGCCCACTTAGCGGAAAAAAGGGATCTTATATGTTAATCTAGGAAAAAAGCTATTTACGTACCAAAAAAGGACCCTATATGCTAATCTAGGAAAAAAACTACCTACTTACCAAATTTCAAGCAAATCGGATCAAAAATACAATTTTTTGGAATAGGTCGGTTCCTGATCCACTTACTGGAAAAAGGAATCCTATATGCTAATCTAGGCAAAAGGCTGCTATTTGAAATGCGTGCTACGTACCAAATTTCAAGCAATTCTGTCCATAAATAAGATTTTTGGAATAGATCGGTCCCTGGTCCACATTCCGGAAAAAGGTAAATTTTTTCGGTCTTTGACATGCTATTATATACAAAATTTCATGAAAATCGGACCTGCCGTTTGCCAGATTACTTGTTACAAAAAAATGGACTTATCTTTATGTAATCAGTATAGATAGATGTATGTATATATGTTTCTGGGTAATTTCGGACCACATGAACCGTTTTGGAGACTTCTGTCTTTATCCGAAAGGGTGTATGTCAATGGTGGTTCAATTCTAATTTGGTTTAGTCCGATCATTGGATTATGAAGAAATTAGCGGCAATACTAAATTTTTATACGAGCATTGAAATCGGTTGTTTTTTGCTTAACAATTATTAGTTCAATTTACAAATGCATATGTATGTATGTTTGTACATATATAAGTATGGACTTCCATAAGTACATTCAGGGCTGTTGGTAATATGCCTATCAATCTCGTAGTTTTAGAGATAGGAGCGTGTCCGAGAGAAAATATGATAAAAAACACATTTCCGAAAGTTAGATATAGGGCATTTTTTTTTATGGTGCCGATGTGTACATACTCTTTTATTTAATTGGCATCTTATTTCATATAAAACTCACCAAGATACGATGATTAACTGCATATGTCTTGAGCAAATCTGCAAAATCGGCCACTTTGTGAGCCGCTACCAAAATAGTCAACTTTTGGCCAACTTCACGGGAGTGTCCCATGAAAGTCAAGCTATCACTTTGCTGTTCCAGCTTTTGGAACAGATCGACGTGCTGATCTGTATCCAACGCAACATTGTAGACACGATAGTGATCATAGCGAGCAATATCCTTGTGGGAGAATTCCTCTATTCCACATTGCGTGGACGATTCTGCTCCAGGTGCGACACATTCTTCTCCTTTGTAAATTGCGTTGACACAACCTTTATCTGACATATCTGCGAACATAATGATCAGCAATAAGAAGCCGCTTGCGTTCAGCGGCCTTTGTTGTAGCATTTCTTACCGCATCTATGTATGAATGTTCATATACATATATATTTCTTATTTTATTATATACATAGTTATACACATGCGTATGAACCTACATATGCACATGTACATACATCCATACTTACATATGTTTTTGTCAGTTTTGTATATGAATTAGCTAGATTACCATTATCAGAGCTCTGTGATGCTAATCAAAAAATAAACAGATAGTAGAAATTATATACACATGTATTAAAATTTGTATATTGTATACCTGTACTATTCTTTTCCGAATTTGCAAGCATTAACAAAGTTTGTCAAGGGTTCACGCTATTTGTATTTAATGATCTTTGTATAGATATAATTATTTCATCCGACGAATCTATACTTTTGCTAAGCGTTAGCGACGAACTAATAGCAGGGATACAAATACATAAATAGCCGAAACTTTTCCTTCCATTCCTGCTCGTAAGCGTACCGATGCTTTTACAAAGTGGTTACATCCGTCGGAAATGAAAGAAAGTCGGTTCTACGTATACACAAGAGTACTTTGGTTCAGAAAAATTATCAATCAGTAATCTTTTTTATTGTGCTGAGTTATTCTGAAATCAAAAAAGTAAGATTTTGGCCTTCAAATAACGAAAAAATAATGTATATGAAAAATACTCACAATTATTAATATTTTTTAGTTTATTCCAGTACATAGTAAGACATAAGTTGTGTTTCGTATTCTCCAGCAAGAAATATCTAGTAACTTGCCAACAGTGTTGCCATTCAGCCGTTTGCCGGCTAGATTTAGTCGGTTGCGATAGCAAACAGCCGGAGAAATTTCGGTTTAGCCGGCAGCCGATTTATTAGCCGCTTTGTAAAAAAAATAGCCGTTTTTAGCCGATTTTGCTATTTGCCTTGATTTCTTAAGATTCAAAAATATATGTTTCCATTTTTTAATAAGCGATCCAAAATCTGTTACAGAACTTTTTACCTAGTTACCAATGTACATGTAGAGCTCCTCTCATATATGTAATACTTCTATATTGGCAGTAAGAGCAAGTACCCTCCGAAAACATCACAGTACAGATATATTAATAAACACGTACAAAAGAAAAGGAAGGAAGGAAAGGTAATAAAGAGCGAATACGTTCCACTTTTGGATCGTAAATGTCTTCTTCTTCATGCCCGAAACAGCCCGGAGTTTTTTCCGGGCGCAAATGTGCAAAAAGTGAAATTGCCATAACAGCTTTTGCGGAAATGGAAAATACCAGAGAAGTTTCAAGAAATGTATTTCTTTGCTAGTTTTATTCGTCATGTATGATAAATACACATAAAATTATTGTTTAGAGCCGATTTGCTGATTCCGGGCCCGAAATGTGTTTTTTTGCGTTCCTCACGCTCTGGGCACTTTTGACAAATGTTGACACATTTTTGGCACTTGTAAGGGAGTAACTTATTTTTACGCTGTTATTAAAGAAACATCCCGGAAAGCGTTTGGAACAAAGCTATTCTTAACACTTGTGAGAGAGTAACTTAGTTTTACGCCCTAATTACCGAAACAGCCCGGAAAGTGTGTGGAACAAACCTAGTCCGGGCGGTTTCGGGCACGAAGAAGAAATTTACTATCCAAAAGTAGAACGCATTCGCTCTCTATTACCCATTTTTATAGCGTGCGTAACGAACCTAATCTGATAACTGCAGCGTACATATAATTCGCTTTGAACACCACCCTCAACAAAGCGAATTTATACAAGGTGAAATTCGCTTTGCCAAAGCGTATAAATTCGCCGTTGTTTTTAATGTAATCGGAATGAAAAAACAAAAACATTGGGTCTTCCTCGAAATGAAAACATAATTTTTGAAGTGTCCAAAGGTACAAATGCAGTGTAAAATAAAAACAAGAACATGAGTATTCAACTCACCAGTTTTGAATTAAGTTCCGAAGCGCTAATTGGATCACTACTAGCATTATGTGCGTTATTCGCTTTTTGTCGCAGTTTATTACTGGAGGACGTAATTTTCATACCAAGGAAAACGAAACATAGCTGGAAATCTATCAAGCTACTCGAAAAGGCTAGTTTACAATATCCAGATGACTGTATCTACATATAATTGTATAAAATTAACATTGCTTAGTTGAAGTATTTTGCGTTTCTACAGGTCTGTTATTGCAATGCATGTGAGATCCTTTTGACCTCTTCAGCAGGTCTCTTCTGTGATTGCTGTGGTGTTTGTTCTCATTCCGCAAATATGTGCACCAAAGAAATAGACAACAATTATCGCTGCAAAGATAAATGGATTCGAAATGAAAAATCGATGCGTCATCTATGGGTTCGTGGCAACTTGCCCGTTGGAGTAGTCTGCGTTGCATGTAAGGGCGAAATCGATTATCACGCCACCGCAGGCCTATTTGGTTGGCGATGTGCATGGTGTCATCGTTGCTATCACAATAACTGCTATAAACATATAGATGCACGATCAGAGTGTGATTTGGGTGAATTTCGGGACATGATCTTTCCACCGTATTGTATTGTTGCGGCGCGCACTCGCGAGTCGGTACGATTACATTTAGCTGGCATTAAACCACCTAACATTGAAAGTTGGGAGCCTTTAATAGTGATTGCTAATACAAAATCTGGAAGCAGTACAGGTTCAGATGTTGTATCTTTGCTGCGAGGTTATCTCCACCCTCTGCAAGTGATGGAACTGGGTACTCGCGGTCCTCAAGATGCCATGCAATGGGCAGCGAAGGCTACTCCTAGGCCTTGTCGCATTCTAGTAGCAGGAGGAGATGGCACTGTCGGTTGGGTATTAAACACAATCCACGCTCTCAATATAAAGGTAGCATATTTGAATATTTTTGCTAAAAATGAATAAAATGCATATATTTTTAGCCTATACCTTCTGTTGCTATAATGCCATTGGGAACAGGTAACGATCTTTCAAGAGTGATGGGTTGGGGCCCAGAGCCGCCTGCAAGTTTAGATCCGGTTGCAATCCTCAGAAATGTAAGTTTGCTTTTAGCACTTATATTAAAACATTCCAAAAATTTAAAAATTATTTATATTTTAAGATTAAGCGGGCCCGATCAGTAAATTTAGATCGTTTCGACTTACAAGTTGAAAGACTACATTATAGACTGCCTATTCAACGACATCCAATCAAAACGATACATGTTTATAACTACTTCAGTATTGGAGTGGATGCGTTGGTCACTTATAATTTTCATAAAACCCGAGAATCTCGATTTTACGTATTAAGTAGTCGTATTTTTAATAAGGTAATCCAAGAGTTGATTTAAAACAATCAAAAACCAAAAAATTAAATTAGTTGCATTTTGTAATTGTAGCTAATTTATTTTGGTTTCGGTACTCAACAAATAGTACAACGTGATTGTGAACGAATTGAAAAAAAGTTGGATCTGTATTTGGACGGTCATCTTGCAGAGCTGCCTGAACTGCAATCGATTATCTTCCTTAACATTGATTCTTGGGGAGCAGGCTGCAAACTTTGTGGTATGTTTTAATCGAGATTTCAATAACATTTTCAGAGTGTACTAATATATTTGCAGAGCTCAGTAATTCAGATTCAAATGCTAAGATAGACAACTCTATATCTGATGGTATTATGGAAGTTTTCGGTCTTGTATCTTCATTCCACATGGCTCAACTACAGTGTGGCATAAGTAAACCTGTGCGGATTGGTCAAGCTAGGCAAATACGAGTAAGTCAGCGAGAGGCTACGTTGTCCCTTTTTTAAATTTCAAAATGGTATTCAGAGTAGACGTTCAGGATTCAATACGAGTTCAGTTTTATTTTTTTATTGAAGTGAAACTTCTTAATCGAGTTCGGAGATTGTTGCGTTAAATATTTAACACCAAGCCATAAACTCTGTATCGTTCGTTCGATTTTCAAAAATGAGGTGTCACATGAAAGGCCTTGTCCTTCGGGTGTACACCATAGCCTTAGTTCCATGAAAGGAGTTGCCACATGTTAGAAAATCGAATTCAAAATTTCTCTGCCGCAGAGGATTGCGTTAAATATTTAACACCACGTCATAAAATCTGTATCGTTCGTTCGATTTTAAAAAATGAGGTGTCACATGAAAGGGCTTGAACTGCAGATGTGCAGTATGGTTTTAGTCTTTTAAAGGGTTGCCATATATACGAAAATCAAATTCAAATTATTTATTAAGTTAAACG